AGAGGTAAAAGAAATGAGTAGAATATTATCCCTCTACACCTCTCCCTGAGCTCTGCTTACCTAGGGACTGGGGGCACTGGAATTTTGTATTTGGGCTGCCAAATGAAGTTCTTCAACATTGTTAGTCAAAGACATGCAATACTAAGAAATAATGGCTTTTCTTTTTTATAAAAAATACTACAATAAATGAATGCAACTTCTCAAAATGAGAGGCTCCATGATGACCTTTGCTGTATAATCAGAAGTCCCAGCTTAAACAATGACTTTTGCCATTAGCACAATGTAGCCTTCTAATACGTGGTGTGACAAACACCAAAATAAATGGCTTTCATGAGATGTACACACAGAGAGGAAGATGAAGCAACAGAGCATTCTGTGCTGGAAGTGATTTTCCTTCCTCTCTACATGGTGCCAGAAGAACACAGTGACTGTGAAGGCTTCCCCACTGCTCTCTTGGCTGCAAGATCTTGTAAGAGCTGTTTTAAAGGCAAAAGGGCATATGTCAATCCTTGATCTTTCTGTTGAGAGGGTGATCTATTAAAGACTTGGCTAGCTGGGTATCTACTCCCTCAACAGGCTGCCAAACCCATTGCTTAAGTTAACAAACTCCTATTTGCCAGATCAATGCTGACCCTATGTCAAAAGCTTGGTCTCCTTTCATTGGATCTGCAAGTCATCCAAAAATACTTGACTAATTGGGAAAGGTAATGGTGGGAGGTAAGAATTGGAATTTCAGTGGAGGCTACGTAAAGAAACTGAAAAAAAAAAAGTCAGCTTTCTCTCTGAAAAGAAGTGCATTTGTCCACTCCAAGTGCAGTTTGATACACTCTCTTAATCAGACAAAAGGAAGGGGTCATCAGCAAAGTCCCCAAGACCTCCTCTCCCTCTTCATCCCAGGAAAAGAAGACAGACAGTGTAGGCAAACAATAATGCTGGGTGAATTGCCCAATATGTCTATTTAATTAGCACTTAAAGCATCACAAATGTTTTCTCCTTGCTTGAAGGAGAGAGAAGAACATGTCCCTGGCATTGCAGAGGGCAAGAGAGGGTTTATAGACCATTTCACCTTAATAGTCACAGAGAAAATGTTCCAATGCATATCCAAACAAGAAGGACGGAAAAAAAAAGCCCCAGATTTTTTTTCTGCTTTTCTCTTGTGCATCACTGGAATGTGGGGTTTGATATAGCAGCATTTCATCCCTCTGGAAAAATGAAAGAGGTGCAAGACACTGATTTTCTATACATTCACAGTTCTCCCACCACTGCAAAACTGGTCTGTGTGTCTTGGAAAATATTTCTCCATAAAAGCACACATACAAAATAAAAATCACAGAATAGTGAGGGTTCAAAGGGAGCTTTAAGGTCATCTACTCAAATTCCCTACAATGAGCAGGGACATCTTCAACTAAATCAGGTTGCTCAGAGCCCCATCCAGCCCAGCCATGAATGTTTCTGGGGATGAGGCATCCATCACCTCTCTGAACAAGCTCGTTCAGTGTTTTTCCATCCTCAGTGCAAGAAAATCTTTTCCATAGTCATTTTCAGAGGTACAGTAATTTTTAAAATGCGCACAAACTGCTCTAACAATTATTGATGCTATTGAACTTCCTGCCCTGTAACAATGGAATTTTCTTGCCCCCAAAAGCATCAGTTCTACAGGGCTCCTTTTATTCTTGTTGCTGTTATATTTGATGACAGTCAGCCATAAAATCAAATGTGTTCCCTCAAAAGAACTCTCATCTCTGTTTTTTAAAACCAGTGCTCTTTTTTCTTTCTGCATTAATGGGAAAATATTCCAGAGACATAAAGGCATAAAAAAGACAATGCCCTGTCCTGTATTTCATATACATAGGAAATGAAAGAGCCAAAATGTACACTGGACATTTCCAAAGCACCCTTTTGACCTCTTTATGAAAACGCTCAGCTTTTTCCATAAAGAAGAAAAATTCCAGTGATTCTGAGGATTTAAAAACAGAATGTAATGATCTTCTGTGTAAAGCCTCAGGTTTCTCAGACTCAATCAGTATGAAATATTTGCAAGGCTCTCTCTTCAGGCTAATTTAATTAAGTGGTACTAGAACACCCTGCCACTATTATGGTTCTCATCCTGTCCAACCAGAAGGCAACAACTCCCACAGAGTTCCCAAGCATGTTCTTTACAGCAATGCTTTACCCACTGTTTAAAAAAACCCCACACTGCAAAGTATATATAACTATTACTCTCATTTTGTACCTTCTCTCCTTCCCAAAGAAAAAAAAAAATACAGAGAAAAATTATATGAATATTTATTTTCCTCTCTTAAAAATTAATACATATAACATTTCTATCTAGCAGGTCTCTTCAAGGAGAGCTTGGCTGCACTAATTCCATCTCGTGTGCCATTGCTATTGCTGTGCTGTTTTCTCTGGTCTTCTCAATGACACAAACAAATTTGCCTTATAAGAAGAGTTAATCATCTCTACATAGATTCCATTCCTGGGCACAGGTTCAAAGTCCATGAACACATAATCTTTTGCAAATCAAAACCTATTTCTCTCTTTCATGCATCATTTACAATTCCAAGGTGATGTACTGCTAGCATCACACCTGTATTTTAGTTCACTTTTCCTGATTACTCATCCTTTACAAAAGAAAGCACAAGTGACCTTTACTCTTTTCCTCTCATATTTTATTGTCTGTTTGCCTTATTTTTCTTTGCTTTGCTTGTCTGCCTAAAGAATTGAAAGCCTGGTTCAAACTCAGAGGCAGAATATCTTTCTCCTTAGGAGGAGTAAAATACCAGGAAAGAAGGAAGCCCACAGTTTTCAGTTGCTGGGATTACACGACTGACCCTGCAGAAACACTGTGTAAGTGAGATGCCTTGGAGCCCCAGGTCACCCATGGGAAGTCTAGACCTAATCTTGTTTGTGGACAGTTTCTCCTGCCTCTCTAACCACAAGTCAGGAGGCAGCATCAGCAGCACCTAGGTTTGGACCTAGAGGGATCCTTACATCACCCTCTGGGCAGCTCAGTCATTACTTCTGTGCCCTAGGTTACAACTGCACTAGATAGTCAAAAATAGCAAAAGCAACCAAAATAGTCTCAAAAGTGATAGAGTCCAAGGGCTTTGCCAGCCTGACTGGTGCAAGCTGCCAAGCTGCTATCTCCTTCTTCGGGTGCTGGAATGAACCCTCACCATCTCCTGCAATTTTTTTCTGCAGCTTAATCTGCAGTGGATATTGCTTCCATTGCCTTAAAGAAAATACTATTTTACCACAACCTTAATTAAATTCTTTACCCTTTTCTATACTACTTATGTACTACGAGCCCTAGATTCCAAATCTGCCTACAGGTAGGTGCACAAACACTGCAGCTGTGACATGCATTAACCAATATTCTGGCAACAACCAGGCTGACTGACAAATTTGGATTTTGATGACAGTTTCACTTTAAAAAGCTATCAGTGTGACTAAGTTTGTGGCTCTTGTGCTAATAATCTGACATGCACAGCTTCTGACACCCTCTTCCCTCCACTGAACTCCAGTAGATGATATTAATCTTTAATTGATAATGGCTCCCATTTGCATATAATTGCTGTTGTTTATTATGCAAAATATTTGTCCTCTGAAATATTTTGATGCTTCTCTTTCAAAGATTTACCTTTTACACTTGTAGAATTCAATTTACTTTATAGCATTGCCAAGTTTTCCCAAAATGGGATTTTTGAGAAAAAAGAATGAATATTTCACCTGTAGAGAAAAACATTCATGTTTCTAAACGGTGATGTTCATGAAAACTTAAAAAATTAACAGAGTCATAGCTGTCCTTCTGTTTGCCCATCCCTTGGGCTCCCATGAAATAAAAAACCCAGAAGATGTATTAAGCAACATGATTTCTTTTTTATTATGTGTTTCTCCTGCAGTCAACTTGTGGAAAAGCCAATTTTTACAAATGAATACACAGGCCCCAAGTCTAATACAGACTTTATTTTTTTTTTATAGCCTTTCTTCCTACACCAACCTTCCCTTTTTCAAGTGAGAGTACCAAGAAAAGCTTATGCTTTTGATCTCTGTGCAAATAAATGAGCTGAAACAAATAAAACCTGGTTCACAAGAGACTTCCAAGACATCTGGTGGAGTTATTTTTCTAAGTAATTAGACCAAGTGGTGGTGCAATTCCCAAATGGAAAGTACCTTCTCACTTGGTATCCAGTTATTTCTCAGGGCCATCAAAACATCAGTAAGTCCTGCTTCTCTCCTTCCCTGTGTCTCAGACTCTATTGATTACCAGTCTTCCCAAACACTGCTTTATTACTCAAGTTTTTAACCCTATCCTCCCCCACCTTTTTTTTTTTTTTGTGCTATGAGGATCCTGTTTTACTTCCTTGAATGTCAGTGGGATTTCTGGTATTGACTGAAGAAGGATGCTAAGATACCGTAGCCCTCCTTCTTACAGGCTCTACAGAGCAGGCAGAGCAGTGCAATGAATAACAGCAAGGTGCTTGCTCCGGATCAATAGTGCTCTAAAGTGTGCCCAGGCGTGCTTTCTCCTTCTTTCTTGCTGAAAACTGATTAAATTTCTCCTTTTTTTCTCATATCTCCCCAAGAAAACATCATTCTAGTAACAACCCAATTGCTCCTTGACACTTTGGGGAGAATGTGGTTCTCGGTCTGTGACAACATCACAGGGCAACCACTGTGAATTTGTGACACCAGGGAAGTGAACTGGGAGCAGACCTGTCTGAAGAAAGGAATTTCATTTCATTTGTGCATGTTTTTCCTGGTTTTCCAGTTTCAGATTTGGTCAGGGTGCTCTACACTCCTGTTCCACTAGCTGACTTGGAAGCAGGCACCACCTCTGTGCTATGACAGGAACGTTTTGTAATGCCAGGTATGGAATTCCCAGCTGTAACAGGAGTAAAGGAAAGCAGCTGCCATATGCAACAGCTGCTAGATTACAACAGTGGGCTTGATATTAATGGTGTTCATTCTCATCCCTTCACAACATAACACAAACTCACCAGAGGTTTCATCTACTCTCTCGTCCACCACATGGTCCTTCTGATGAACCCACTCACTGTTGCACTTAAAATAGATTTGTGTGGCTGGGCTTGCTTTGCAGTACAGATTCACAGGCTTGTTCTTCACAATGTAAGCCTCTTCAGGTTCAATGAGGAAGTGGGGCAATGGCTCTGGAGGATCAGATGGAAAAGTTTCTGGAAGCTCATGAAAAAAGTCATCATCTGTAAAGGAAATGAAAAAGAATCCAAATTCAGCTGGCAGATACTTGCAAAAACTTCATGAAAATTATAAAGGTGCATAGTTTTTGAATAAAATATTATCTTAGGAGCATTCCTAAACTGAGGCTTAGATACATTGCTGATTCCAGACTGGAAGAAACTGTTCTTTACATCCTGAGCATTCTTTCCTCTCTATGATGTGACAGGGTTGTGCACATTCACAGTGTGGGATCAGTCCTTTGTTACCATCATTGACAATACCAGCAATAAAGCTTTGTGTTAGTGCTTGGTAGAGTTGCCTGCAAAACCATAAAGAGAAATAATAGAAACTTTCAGAGGCTTCAAGGCCACATTTTCAATAGTGACTTATCACACTGCATAATCAGGTGCATGCAATAGCTACTGCCAGCTGAGGCTGGTCCAAATAGGAAACAGTACCTTTTGTTTCAGATGAGCAATTTGTAATCTGCTGAGGGCAAAAGTCTAAATGCAAGTCCTGTCTACACCTCTTTGTTCATACTCTGACTCTCCTGCTAAGACTGCTAATGAAGGTGCCAATCTGTGCTTTATTTCCTCTGTCAGTAGAACCTTGGTCTGTGCAGTCTAGCTACGGAGAGGACGTGGGAGCTGGGGCATGGGGCAGGGAACCTGTGAAATGGTGACATTTTGGGCAAACATGGACAGATGCTATTGACATAAGGAACCTCAGCACCTCTCTGGTGCTGCTGGTAAATGAAAGTAGTCTGGAGAAGGAGGAAAAGAATCCATCACAGGAGGCAAGACTGAAAACATTAAACGTGCATACTTCCCTTTCTCCCTCCCTCTTCACAAATCCTCTTTTACATCCCCTCTGCCCCTTTGTGCAGAGGAACTCTTCCACATCAGAAAGCACCAAATTCAGCAGAGAACAACCTTCTCCCCATCTACCTCCCCACCTGCCATCAGAGCACAGAAACATCCAAGAGGCTCTGAGCAGCAAAGTAGTGGGGGGCACCAACTCCTGACAGACCCACCAGCAGCGAGCTGGCAGCTCTGAAGGCCTCACTCAATCTCCCCTTTCTGCCTCTGGCACAGTTATCATTATACCTCCTGACAGATGCTGATCAATAAAATTCCACGGAACATCCCGCTGAAAATCCCCGGCTGGCTGTCTCCTCCCTGCCAGTCTTCATGAAGATGAAATGTCAGACAGCTCCCTCCCCAAACCTGAGACCTCCCTGTACAGGCCCTGTCCAGAATTACAAGGGACATGACTCTCCTTCCAGATACTGCTTTTCAGAAAGACAAGAAGGAACAGGGACAGATGAAGGAGAGAGGGAAAGAAGGCAATATGGTACCCATCCATGCAGCTGTATGAAGGTAAACTGCATGTCTTTATCAGTGATGGGAATACCTTACAGAGCAAACCATTTTGTGAACCTCCTAAACTGTTTATAAAGAGAACATATGCTCACCTTTTTTTTTCCTTTTTTATTTCCCACTGCCCTTCATATTAATTGAAAAATACTCCTGTCCTTCTTGGTGTCTCATTTTATAAGGAATATTAGGCCTGACTCACTACTGCATCACTCTCTGAACCAGTTCACTTCTATTAACTCTCAAAGATAGAAAAAAGGGCCAATAAATAAGGCCTGACATTCTTCTAGCAAAGGGAAAATCTGTGACACACTATAACACTTCCATTTCCATCTCCAATTAATCATTTCCAGATACTCAAATTAAATTTAATTTTTTATCACTTTCCCATGCTTCCTTTATTTCTGCAGTTTCCTTTTCACTCTGACCACACAAGCCTCCTTCCTCTGCAATCCTATTTCCTCTCCTCATTAGGGATTTCTTCCTTGTTCCATTTTACTCCCTGTTTTTTCCAAAAAGAAAGACGAGTTACAGTAAGCTAATGGGAGTCCTCATTTGGCTTCATGACAATGAAACATGTCTGAACTGAATCAAGAGGCTTTTTGGCATTCCTCATCCCCTTCCATGCACACCTCCCCTCTTCCCCTCTCCCACATGCTGCTCCATAGACATCCATGACACAGAAACATTAGAGATGAATCATTTCCCCTGAATTGCCACAGGACGTATCTTTTTCTTCTGGTCATTTAATTGCAAATCAGCAAGCAGACAGATGGAAACTAACAAAGCACACATATGTTTTATAATTAAACAAGTATTGCTTCACTAATTTCTGGTGACTGGAAGAACAAATGTATTTATTTTCACCACTAAATTTCTGCGCATTATCAAAGGCAATAATTACAATGCCTGACCAATTAACTGCACCTTATCAAAGATAACTAGAAAATCTAAAAGGAGGGATCAGCAAGCTGCGAAAAAGAAAAAACAAAAGGAGGTTTTCAAAAATATTTTTTAATCACCCTGGAAAATGGGTGTGGGTTATGGCTTTTCCTCCTGAAGGTAAACTGCTTATTAAGTTTAGGTATTATTTGTATGTATTCAAAGTACTGCCCAGTACATTATGATCTAGTCCCATACTTTGATTGTGGTGATAGCTGCTTGTCTCCAACAACCTGGCATCCCAGAGTCAGATACAACAAGCCTCTTTTCTTACTGCCTTCTTGCTGTGATTCCTCCTTACTCCTCTTGAACAACAGTAAAGCTCAGCTTTATTTTTCCACACTCTCTCATTTCTATCAAGAGGCATCTGAACCACTCTTAAATGTTAGGGATATAGATGGAAACCATTCACAAACTGTCATACAAATAGTGCTCAAAGGCTGCCTCATCCCTGGAAACAGGCATTTAAAACCATCACTTTCAGAAAGAATTTAAGATAGTAGCTAAGAAAGATTTTTTTTCTTTTTTAAACTTGAGAATGCTCATTCAATCCCTGCCCTCATACTGCTGCTGTTAATAGCAACAATGGTGTTTTTTTTTATAGAGCAGTTTCTCAAGAGGAACATAAAGAATATCACCATGACTGCATTTGGCAGAAAAAGCAGCAATCCCACTGTAAAGCTAGTCCACCTCCATTAGCACTGAAGGAACCTTGCTCCTGCTTTTCACTGCTGAAAGGCAACAGGTGGCCCAATCCACCTGTGTGAACCACAGTGGGAAGTCACTTGGTGTTTCCTGCATCCCCCAAAGAGATGGGGTCGTGTGCTGCAGGGAGGCAAAGCACCTCTCCCCTCTCACCCAGGCACACCAGCTGAAGTGCCAGGATGGTGCTTTACAGGTACAGAGGGTGTGCAGCCCGAGTTCTCCTGTGTCAGGCTGTGACACTTGCTTCTCAGGATGAGAATCTTTTGAAAAAGAAGAACCTTAAATCCCCTCCCGATGGCTTGCACATCACACCAGACACAGCTGTGTCAGAGCTTAGGACAGTCAGGTAATCGAGCTGCTGATCTGGGACAGGGTTTTGAACCATCAACCTTAACACACATCTTGGAGCCAAGTCTTGCATTTCATTTTTTGAATTACAGCCATATGCTGTCATGCTTTCACTGTAATGCTTGCAGCAACATGCAAGCATAATTATAATGTTAGTGTAATTATATAGCAAAATATTCCTAAAAAATCTGACAGAAAATGCCAATATAGGACATTTGACTCTGTAGGGATTTTTTGCAGTTCTCTAGAGAACAAGACCAGAGCAACCTAATGAATCTGTGTTTTCATGAGGAGACAGTTTCTAACAACTGAATAAAATGAACCCTCCCATCAGTTTCTCCTGACTAGCTCTACTTAAACACAGGTCATTCCTGAGAGTCAAACTGACTTAGATTTTTCAGGGATGGTTTTGTTGTCACCATGTGCCCTGTTGAGCCAATGTCTATAATTTGGATAGGGATTGTCTCTCATGGTATGCTCCATTGCTGCATGAGGGGATAAATCTTGCCTGAGACTTTGATCTGCATCGTCCTGATGGTTATCACCGGTTATTTAAAATGCACATCTCCCAACGGTGCAACAAAGCAGCAAACTTTGTAACTCTCTTATTAAATTCTCCTATGTAGCTAGACATTTTTTTTCTTTTCTCTAGAGGAAAAAAGCTAATTAAACCATTTGGGAGTGATCTGGAAGGGCAGATACAAACAAACACTAAAAATTCACATACTTGATTTCCAATCATTATGCCAATGTCATGTGCGGCAAGTTCCCCTCACAACTTTGATCAAACACAAACACAAGACACACATTGTTCTCCCCTGTTGTAACAAATCCCCTTCTGTGCTCAGTAACTTTGAGCTGCAAGTTTACTTCTGCAGTATGTGACATTCATCTTTATTTTCACATAATAAAGTGTACAGCCCATCTGTTGTTATTGACTGGTTTATATTAGCAAGACAAAAGACCTGATTAATGGTACTGCTAAACTGGTTCCAGTCAGTTCCAGTCATGCAATTCATTCATATTAAGAAAATAAATTTTTAAAAGCTACTTTAATCTATAAACTTAACTTGGAATTTTTATTTTAGTTGCTGGTACAAATTCGGATACACTTTTATTTGCCTTCTGTAGTATCTGACAACTATGTTTTTTAAAAGCAAAGTCAAAGGCAAATCTATAGGAACAGGGGAAATGCCACTGAAATCAGCATTGATACAATCTGGCATGGGCTGTCACATGTGGGAATTTTAGCTTAATTTTAGTTCAGTTTTCTTTTAAGGTAAAACAAATCTTTGCCTAAGTCAGGAACCTTTTGATGTTAGGAAAGGTCTTTACTCTTTTCATGCATTTGCCTGTAAAACTGTACATATTATAGCTCTTCATGCATAACACGTGAAAAGAGAGATTTAATGGGATATTTCCCCTTTTATGGATTAGTATCCCTGCTCTAATCTGTGGCAGGAAAATATTGTGCTCCATACACCAATCTATTCATCTCTAGATCACTAGTTTTATTACTATATACCAAGCTTTAATTCTCATCAGCCCAGCATATAACTCAGTACATATCTGAACTGCGAGACTTGAACTATTATTGCTTAGATGATAATATATTGGACCATTATCTCTTCATGCGAGACCTGAAGCAAATT